TGTTTCCGGTCTTCGTCGTCAGGCAAGGAGTGCCTTGTCTTGTGCCATTTGCATAGGATCTCCGCCTGGATCAAGGTCATTGACTCCGCCCATACGTTTTCTCTTGGTGATGATAGCCCTTCGATAGTCCTGCTGCATCTTCCTTCCAAATCGACCAGAGTGTTACATTCCTGATCATGCCGAACCATGTCCTTTCCGTGTTTTTGAAATCAGCCGGATGTTAGTCCATAGTAGAAGTTGGATGGGATGTTCAGGAAGGGGCTTTGAGAAAAGGGAGTCCCAGAGGTCCGACGCCCTGGCCCAGTACTCTGTAGCTTCCTTGCAACGTATCAGGCAGTGAAGAATGTCTTCCGGCTCGCTATCTGAACAGACTGTGCATAGTTCAGAACTGTTCATCTTCGAATGTGGAGCCATTGGTTGAACGGCAATGCCACATAGGCGATAAGCCATTGCAGGCTCCTACTTTTGACTGTCTTAATTGTTTTGAAATTTTCCATGGGATCTGTGAGATCTGGTCTGCTTCTTTTGGGGCCTCTTCGTACTACTCATTGGTATTATTCTCCTTTCCGAAGGGTCCCCTGCTGAGAATCAGCACGGATCCCATTCATTTGGAAGAGCGTACATCAGACTTCGTTTGGTTTCCCCTGCTGAGTACATACATCAGACATCGATTGGCTTTTTATAAACATCAGATCTCGTTTCCCCCCCCCTTCTGCTGCTTTTTTTTAAAAAGAAAGTCCAGTAGAGCCTCGAGGAGCATTCAGACCAAAGCTGATGCATGCTCATAGACAAGGTGAGCAAAAGGACCAGTGAGGTGATGATAAGGACTCAGACATACACAATGAGATCAATGGCATACATGATGACATCAGAGAGACAATGTGTATCCATACAATCATAAAATGATACAATGTAGCACAGCGGACGACTGAAACATACGACCTGACTCGTACCATCATCATCACACATGTGAGAGAGAAGGGAGGCCACATACACAGAGGAAGGTCCCCCCCTTGAGCATGCACATGGGAGGTATACCACAGATGATGGGAGAGAAAGGAGCGAAAAGATGGAGGCGAGGGAGTAGACCAGAGTCGAATACACTGCTGTCAAAAAAATAGCCTCCCTGTCAAGTGTCCAACCAATGTCTGGCCCAAGAATGTCGAATCAGATCCTGGGCCCCATACCCCGTAATAGCTCTGCCTGTAACCTTTCTCTCTCTCTCTCTCTCTGAAGAAGTTGTAAGAAGAAGAAGAAGAAGAGCAGTGGCTATGCAGGTTGGAGTCAGGAAGGAGGAGGAGAAGAAGAAAAAGAGAAGTCTCCTCTGTCTCTCCCTCACCTGCTACTGCTGAAGTCCTGCCTACACTGACTGGTGGAATGGCGCTCTCTGATGCAGGTCGCTGAAGTGCAGTCCAAGCTATGGCGCCCAGGTAAGTCGTCCTCCAGCCAGCGGCTATGGCTCTCCAGCCTCCGCTCTCCCACTACCTCCTACTCCTCTACCTCTCTACCTCTAGCGCACCACTCCAAAGTCGCATGCTCTTGCAACCTTCCAATCTCAACCTCTCCTCTTCTGATTCTTCAATCGTGAAAGAACCCGGGTTGGGCTGATTCCTTATACTCCTAGGTCCTGTGTTCTTGCAAGTGATGACCTCATAATTTCCGCATACCGGATCACACAGGACGAGGAACATAGTCTCGTCATGCTTGTTGAGTATGACGGTCTCTGTTCGGCTTAAAAACGACCTACCAAGTAAAATAGGGTGGTCAAGATCAGGCATCACGAAAAAACTTCTTACTTTCACTTTCCCGATCTCCAGAATCACCGATGATGCGGTCCCTATGAACACCGATCGACTATTCGCCCCCATCCGGACCCCATTATCAGAGCGATCTATCTCCATCCCTAGGCGCAAATCATGCTCCTCCTTTATAAGTTTCATCTCCGCACCACTATCCACCATCGTCATGCAAGTCTTCCCTTTCACCACTACATCTAGACACCCACACGCCACGGACTTTCAGTCCATCTTCATTCCGGTCTCAGCCCACTCTGCCTCTTTAGGGATTATGGTCCCTAATCGCACACTGGCCACCATCTTCCTAGACAATCACGCTTTTAACTCATCCCTGAGCCTTGGCGCCGAAGCCAGGACGTCCTTTAGGTTTATAAGATGGTTATGACCCTCAAGGATCCTGTCCATTATCTCCTCTACGTCAAATCCTTCCTCTACTCGGACAGCGTACTTCTTTTTCTTCACTTCTGAGGGCTTGTCCGTGTCAGGCTTGGCGCCTCTCTTTTTGGCCCTTTGCTCAGCCTTCTCATCCTCTTCTTTCCTCAACCTGTCGTCTTCATCGTCCTCTCCCTCTGGAACATCCACAACCTCTTTCTCCCCACTAGGCTCAGGAACATCCTTTGCCGGTTCCTCGGGGCTCACCGGCCCCTTGGCCCTTGTCCTGACAGCATGTGGTACTCTCCCTGTCCTGGAGGGTGGCCTATAAGCCATGCCGGACCGAGGCACCGGTCCTGAAATCGTGACGCCTGGTAAGCTTCCAGACCCACCTTGCGACCCTGGACCCATATCATAGAGGTATACCAATGGCTCCTTACCTCTCCACTTCAACCTTTTCACACATATCGGTAAGTTTTTGTTGGTACCTCCCTACTTTGGCCACAAAATCCTCCATCCTCTCCATCTTTTGACGGGCCTCCCTCTAGCAATCTTCCCCTACCTTTGCATGTCGTGGCTCATTCCAGCAGTCCTCCTCTATCTCGTCATCCGATTCCACTATGATCGGCTCTTCCTTGATGGTGCTAGCCTTCCTTCCTTGTTCCACTTCTTCGTTTTCTCCTATTACCCTGATGTTGTAGCGGACCTCTTTCTCTTGCCACAACCGGAACATAGCCGGAGGAGCGGGTGGCGCGCCGGCCTCGGCCCTTCGTAGGGCTTCCTTCCTTGTACTGCCAGGGGTCTTTGGGTCTAGGTAGTACCCAAATTTGTCGTACATATCCCCATCATAGGTGGTGCTGATTAGACCTTCGTCTTCGTCATTTCGTCGGACATAGCAGAACTTGATGGTATGGCCTTTCTGCCCATAATGCCAGCAAATGGCATTTCTCCAATCTATTCTCCCTCTGCTATATTCGTGTCCACCTTCTTGGCTGCCCTGGCTTCCTGACGCATTCCAGTCCCCATTTCCTCCACCTGTGGAATTTCCACCACCATTTCCCCTTCCATTCCCTCCGCGACAACCATTGCCTCGCCCTCGGCCCCATCCTTGATTTTGTCCACGTCCGCCGCCTTGGTTTCCTTGCGCTCCTTGTGGGGCCGACCGTTGAGGCTGGCTCGGTTGCGGGTTCGGGTGGCTTACTTGTTGAGACTGGGGTCCCGGACACCCACAGGAACCCGTGCTCAGCGGCGCTCCTGCGCATGATCCATGCGGCCCACTCGCCGGCCATGGTACATATGAACAGTGCCCAGGCCAAGGGCTTGGAGGTTCATAACCCGGCCACGGCCCATAGGGTGCTGGCGCGGCTTGACTGGGCGACTCAGGGGGTGGAATTGCCGCTGCCTGCGGGACCTGACCTCTTCCTGAGCCTTGCCCCCCTTGAGCCTGATCTTTCTCCTTTCTTTGAGCCTTTGTTAACTTTAGAGGCTCAGGCTCCTCTTCCTCTCTTCTTCCTCCTCTTGCACCACCGCCTTCTTCGCTTTCCCTGGGTCTGCGGTGCCGCCATAGCCTTTCCGGCTGCCTTTGCCTCTTTTTCCGCATCGAGTTGGGCAACAACATCCTCTACCATTTTCTTAATGTATCGCCCGCCACTCGTCGTGGCATCCAAGGCCTTCCTCTTCTTCCTAGCCTGTCGCATTTGAAAGATGTCTACTTAGTCCAACTCTCCCTCTAACACGCCTTCTTTTATGGCAGCCCAAGTCAACTTCTTCCCCGGCGCAGCCTTCTTGGTCAGTGCAGAAGCCTCCCAACAACCCCCACAAACAACACCACTACATTACAACACTCCTAGTCCCTTCAGTATCAGACCCATAACTTTATGCCGCGAGAATCAGATAGGTATCGCGCGCTGGACTTTCGTATAAGAGTCGCGCGAGCGCATGGCCTCCTCATATCGACCAGCCATGCGTGCATTCGCAAGCACTCGCGCTGATGGGGTACTACGTGGTACTTGTAACCGCGCGGCCCTTGGTAATCTCGAGGGTCGTGTTCGACACTCAAGTGTCGGCTGACAAACGCGTTGAGGGGTTACCTTCTCGGCGCTAGACAACCGCCATGCGAGGTTGACGACCACACCCTCTTCTGCACCCTGTGCAGAAGAGTTGAGTAGACAACTTCAGGGCTGTCGTGGTAGCCAACCTCAAGGGGTTTGACTTTGACGGCTACCACGGACTACAACGTCCAACCATGAAAACTTTAAGGAGGAAACAACTGCTGATGGTCTGATAGTCGTTCCAGCTGGAACGGTTAGGCCAAGGTGAAAGATGCGTGTGGATAATGCCCAAAATCAGACCCATAGGCCGCCCGACGTTCGTGACGTTGGAGGCTCGTACGCGGGTCCCTCATAGGCCGACTAGGACTGTTGCCTCGCTCACGCGCCGTTCCGCGCTGCGGAACTCGGGTCTACTGGCCGTAACGCGCTTTTGCCCTCTTCACTCGTCCCATAACTTTCGAGCGCGGAAATTGATAAGTGTCGCGCGTGTGGGTTAACATAAAGCCGCGCAGACACAGAACCTATGCATACCGACCAACAATGCGGATTTGCGTAAGCAATCGTGACGTCGGCGCACTATGTAATGCCCATACCCGAGTGGCCTCATTTGAGCCATGGGGTCGCTCTCGACGCTCAGGCGTTGGCTGAAGCGTGCGCTAAGGGGGGTAAACCTTTAGCGAGCGCAAAACTGGCCTAAGGGCCTTACCACCTTCTGCACCCTGAGGTACCCCAAAGGGTGCGGGGTAAGATGGTCTCTAGGGCAGGAAGGAATTCGGAGCGGTGGTGAGTTGTCTGGCGCATCACCAACGACACGCTAATCCTTCCGCCCGGAATTTTATCGTTCCACCAAAGTAAATTAAAACAAGGAAAAAGGAACAGGGTACTCGACGTTGGCAGTGGAAACATGAACGCCCCGCCGGACCAGGTGGCTGGGGAACAACCCCTCCTCCTTGCGGCGCTTCTGTTTCCCCAGGGCAGTAAGTAGGTCAACCCTGTGCGAGGGGTGATCCCTTCCGCCCTAAGCCTAGGACCTGGACTAACGTCCGACCAAATAAAATCTTTGAGCAGAGAAAAACGTAGGCGTGCGGTCGCACAGCCCTATAAGGGTTACCCGAGCGTACGCTTACTCTGATTATCACATTATCAGGGTGGGGAAAGAACAATCTCACTCAAACAAAAAGTTGTGGGGTAGTTCACTCTCACGGCAGTTGTGTGGTTTGCCCATCTGAATCCAAAACATAATCATTCCACATGACTCAATCAAGACTCTTCCATACATACCTGCAATCATACGCACAACATTCAAACAACATCAAACACACTAAAGGGGTCAACTTTCCGACCTTCTGCAGCTCACACCCTGCCTTATGCACACAAGCCCAACCATTTCCCCACCAATCCTCAACAAATATATTCAGTCTTTAAGAAATGACCATTTATAAAGGAACTGGGTGAAAACCCAAAGAAACACACAAAACCTGGCAAGGGCCGAGGCCTTAGGTTGAGAGGCAGGAGAAATAGGAAAGTTGAGTCGTAAACAGACGAATCTTATCAGTGATAACAGAAATGTGATCCTTTTTGAAGGATCAGGCTGAACATATCAAGCCTTCAAGCGAAATACGGAAACCTGCAACACGGTACAGGCCAAAGAAGGATACTACTTATGTTTATGCCAAGAAAGGGAGAGTACTCCCTAAGTCGTAACCTAGCTCCTCTACTAGTACCAAGTCACTGAACACCTCCCCTAACCAGGATGGATCTGCTAAGTAGCTCCTAGCTGGAAATTATTCTAACTCCTTAAATTCTACAAAATTTCGGCAGTGCTTCCCGTAGGAAAAGTGCGTTTTCAGAATTTCTACAAGCTAAAAAATGACTAACTCTTTCAGATTTGTAGAAATTTCGGCAGCACTTCCCGTAGGAACAGGAGGCTGTCAAGATTTATACAAAGCTGAAAAGACAGAAAGACAAAGCAAGCTTAACTTGGGGCTATCGTCTGATACTAGCTTGATGACTCAGGATCAGTGACAGCCCGCACGACCTCTGGATGAGAGTGTGGCTAGCCCTGATCCTAACTCTTAGCAGGGTCAGTCCTATCTTCACCCCAAGTTCTCCCTCCCATCATCCATCTCACCTACCTATGGCTCCAGCACCTGGCGAGTATCTAAACAGCTAATCTATCAAAAAGACACGCCAAAGTGAGAGCCCACAAGCATGCATGAACAAACATCTCTCACAATCCCACATAAGTTTAACCTGAATAGTTCATTGGATCACTAAATTCTTTTCCTTTTATAACCCCCTTACCTATGGCATAGGATCAGACAATGCCCTAACTTAAGGGTATGCCCAACCTGCCTAAGTAAACAAGTAAATGTACGCACAACTGGACTACCCTAACTTAAGGGTATGCCCAACATCACATGGACTCTAGTCATAAAACATATGACCAGACCGCCCTAACTTAAGGGTACGCCTGGCTTCTGCTTAACTGACGACATAAAGCATAAACTAGACTGCCCTAGCTTAAGGGTATGCCTAGTCAGCTCATAGACAAGGTTATATAGGGCATAGGACTAGGCTGCCCCAACTTGAGGGTGTGCCTAACCTGCCTAAAACAAGTACGAACGACGAATGGTCAGACCGCCCTAACTTAAGGGTACGTCCAACCTACATAACATCAACGACAAGAGCATATCACTAGGCCGCCCTAACTTGAGGGTACGCATAACTAGCTTAAACATTTTTAGGTACATAAGACAATACGGCCAGGTTGCCCAACTTAAGGGTACGCCTCATCTGCCTGAACAAAGTACAGACGACGTATGACTAAGCCGCCCTAACTTAAGTGTACGCTTAGCCTCCGTAATGACAATATAAGAGAACAACCATTGATGTACTTGCACAAACTTTATATGTCTCTCTTATTAGGCAGATGATCAGACCTACCCAACTTAGGGAGACATCCAATCCTGCCTTGTGTTTAGAAGGGAAAATACAAGAAGATATATACCAACTCTCTGCACCTTTGTATTATCACGAGTATAGGACGGAACCACCCTAACTTAAGGGTACGCTCAGCCTGCCCGAATTACCTTTATTAGATTCTCCACTTGCTTTTCTTTTCTTCTTGTTCTACCTGACTTACTAACTAGCTTTCCCAACTTAGGGTGCCCGGTCTGCCAGCTGATATAAGTTTGTATAATGTATATCAAAATTATATACTTTGGTTAATCTTTTTGTTCATGGCTTATGACTGAACCGCCCTAACTTAAGGGTACGCTCAGCCTCATGCCTTTGTCCCCCTCAGAAGAAACATACACAAAACTGGGTCTACGCAACTTAGAATATTC